GTTTCACCTTGTTGACCAGGATGGCCTCGATCTCTTGACCTCGTGATCCACCCGCCTCGGCCTCCCAAAGTGCTGGGATTACAGGCTTGAGCCACCGCGCCCGGCCTCATTGAAATTTTTTAAGTAAACATTCTTTGAAGATTTGGAGATAATTGCCCTAATTTGGTGTAATACATTTTGTTGTTCTTTAAATAGGCAGACTTATGATGATGGAGCTGCAACCCGACTAATGTCAACAGTGAAACCTTTGAGGGAGCCAGCACCCTCTGAAGATGTGATTGATATTAAACCAGAACCAGATGATCTCATTGACGAAGACCTGAACTTTGTGCAGGAGAACCCTTTGTCTCAGAAAAAACCTACAGTGACACTTACATATGGTTCTTCTCGCCCTTCTATTGAAATTTATCGACCACCTGCAAGTAGAAATGCAGATAGTGGTGTTCATTTAAACAGGTTGCAATTTCAACAGCAGCAAAATAGTATTCATGCTGCCAAGCAGCTTGATATGCAGAATAGTTGGGTATATGAAACAGGACGTTTGTGTGAACCAGAAGTGCTTAACAGCTTAGAAGAAACGTATAGTCCGTTCTTTAGAAACAACTCGGAGAAAATGAGTATGGAGGTTTGTATGTATTTTTAAATTCTGGCTTATTAGGATAAAAATTGGCAGTTCTTGATACTAAATAATATGTGAAGTCACTGAACACATGTTGCAAGTTTATTTTTAAATTGTTTAACTGCTGTTTCTCATGATACACCAGTCAGATTTTCCTGTCCGTGGCTTGCTCCTAGAGTTCTTTTATATCACATCTGAACACCTTTTTGGGATTTCCAGCATTTGAGATAGCTTTAATCTTATATTAACTGGGGGAGGGGATTTCAGATCAAGTTTAGATTGTTCATGGTAATTGCTACTAAGCAACCAATTAACTGTTTTATTAGTTTCCTCAATAACACTGTATGCAGCTGTTAATAAAATAAACATAAAGCTCTAATTTTTGTTTTAGCTAAAGGTTGGCTATTGAGGATAATATTCATAGTTTTACACAAAACCAAGAAATATCCTGTGAATTTTTCATATTACTGTTTTTTTCTTAAAATTAAAAAATATTTTGTGGTACAACTTTTGTTATTTTCCGAGATGAGTTAAGCATAAATTTTATCTGATTGCAGGATGAAAACTTTCGGAAGAGAAAGTTGCCTGTGGTAAGTTCAGTTGTTAAAGTAAAAAAATTCAATCATGATGGAGAAGAGGAGGAAGAAGATGATGATTATGGGTCTCGAACAGGAAGCATCTCCAGCAGTGTGTCTGTGCCAGCAAAGCCTGAAAGGAGGTACCTTAAACATGGCTGTAAATTAGTCTTTTACTGCCTTGATGGAGTCTTCTCAATTTCTTGAAGAGAATAGTCATTAAAATACTTTTTTTTAATATATGGAGTCTTACTCTGTCATCCAGGCTGGAGTGCAGTGATGTGATCTTGGCTCACTGCAACCTCTGCCTTCCAGGTTCAAGTAATTCTGCTGATTCAGCCTCCCGAATGGCCAGGATTACAGGTGCACACCACCATGCCCAGCTAATTTTTGTATTTTTAGTAGAGATGGGGTTTCACCATATTGGACCAGTCTGGTCTTGAACTCCTGACCTCAGGTAATCCGCCAACCTTGGCTTCCCAAAGTACTGGGAATATAGGTATGAGCCAATGCACCCTGCATAAATACTTAATGTAATACCATGTAGGCTTTTCCATTGGCTTTTGAGAAACACATTAATGAGAGAAATTGCTTAACATTTGTAAAGATTTGCAGAGGATATTAAACACTGATGATGGGGTGAGGAGGAACACATCAATTAATATTCAGATTTGTTATGTTAAAAAAAACTAGGGCCGGGCTCGGTGGCTCATGCCTGTAATCTCAACACTGGGAGGCTGAGGCGGGTGGATTACCTTAGGTTGGAAGTTTGAGACCAGCCTGGCCAGCATGGTGAAACCCTATCTCTGCTTAAAAAAAAAAAAAAAATACAAAAATTAGCTGGGCGTGTTGGCAGTGCCTTTGTAATCCCAGCTACAAGGGAAGCTGAGGCAGGAGAATTGCTTGAACCCAGAAGGTGGAGGTTGCAGTGAGCCAAGATTGCGCCATTGCACTCTAACCTGGGCAACAGATTGAGACTCCATATCCAAAACAAAACAAAAACTAAAAGGGACCTGGGCATGGTAGCTCATGCGTGTACCTAGCACTTTGGGAGGCCGAGGCAGGAGTATTGCTTGAGGCCAGGAGTTTAAGACCAGCCTGGGCAATGTAATGAGTCTTTTGTCACTACAAAGATAAATTAGCCAGTCATTGTGGCAGGGGCTTATAGTCTTAGACTGGAGAGGCTGATGGGGAAGGATTACTTGAGCCTAGAAATTTAAGGCTGCAGTGACACACTACACTCCAGCCTGGGTGATAGAGCAAGACTCTGTCTCTTTAAAAAAAAAATAAGATTCCAGTGTAGTTGGCATTTTCTAAAAACTGCAGCTCGTCTGTTTAAAACCTGGAGAAGGTTGTGGTAAAGGCATGATGGCTGGCCTGTGAAGAACTGAAATTTAAAGTTTAATAAAAATACCTTTCTTAACTCTTTTAGACCTTCTCTTCCACCTTCTAAACAAGCTAACAAGAATCTGATTTTGAAGGCTATATCTGAAGCTCAAGAATCTGTAACAAAAACAACTAACTATTCCACAGGTAACTTAAATGTATTATGTTTACACTTCGTAAAAGATTTCTGCAATTCTTGAGTAAGCTGAAAGTGATTGCTCCTTAAATTGTATAAAATAAAGGTGCCTGTCAGATGTCAAGACCAAGATGAGGCTCCCCTGTAGAAGAATGGCTTTAAAGGAGATTGACCGGTTTGAGGAACTTCGCCAGGCGTAGTGGACTGTAGTTTTTTGAGCACCATATAATGCTTTTTATACTGTTTCCAATGTGTGTGAAATACATAGTACATAAACATTTTGAAGAGAATTTTGATGAAGTGGGACTTTCATATTAGTAGCATTAGATTCAGCATTAGATATGAATTTATGATGTATAAAGGGGAGTACAATTGGATAATAATAGGCAGCTGAAGTCATAGAAATTTGTTTAACAGTAGTACATAAACAGATTGGTTTCCTCCCTTTCAGTGGAACTCAAGAATTTAATCATTTGTGATGTTCCTGCTCCAATTCTAGTGGAAGTACTAAATCTTTTTATCAGAGAATATAAAAGTATTACATTTTTTTCCCTCTTGTGACAGAGTCTCGATTCTCACCCAGGCTGGAGTGCAGTGGCATGATCTCAGCTCACTATAACCTCTGCCTCCCGTATTCAGGCAATTCCTGAGTAACTGGGACTATAGGTGCACGCCACCATGCCTGGCTAATTTTTGTATTTTTAGTAGAGACAGAGTTTCACCATGTTGGCCAGGATGGTCTTGATCTCCTGACCTTGTGATCCACCCACCTTGGCCTCCCAAAGTGCTGGGATTACAGGCATAAGCTACTACTCCCGGCCTACATGTTTTCAAAACAGGAGATGAATCAGCTGTAAGCTGGTCTTAGGGAAAGCTCATTTGGAAATGCAAACAACTGATGGGTGTCATTTTGTGTTGTCATTAAATTCTGTACTCTGGCCAACCTGTTGTAGCCAATGTGTAAACTTGCGTTAACAAGCTGATGATAATGAGCTACTCTAAAAAGATGTAAGTTTTTGCTGTGGATTTGATGGATGTAGTTACAGCATTGCCCTGCTTGTCCACTCTCTCAGGCATCTCTTTTTTTACCCCTTCCTAAAGTGAGGTAAACTACCCATCAGTTTTTTTGTTTGCTTTCTTTTTTTTTGAGATGAAGTCTTGCTCTGTTGCCCAGGCTGGAGTGCAGTGGCATGATCTTGGCTCGCTGCAGCCTCTGCCTTCTGAGTACAAGTGATTCTCCTGCCTCAGCCTTCCAAGTAGCTGGGATTACAGGTGCTTGCCACCGTGCCAGGCTTATATTTTTGTTACTTAGTAGAGATGAGATTTCACCATGTTGACCCAGCTGGTCTCGAACTGCTGACCTTAGGTGATCACCCGCCTCGGCCTCCCAAAGTGCTGGTATTACAGGGGTGAACCACCATGCCTGGCACCATCAGGTTTTGATTCTGATATTTGCCTGTCTTCTTCTTTCTCCTTATCCCTAATTTAACCTTGAACACAAAATTCAACAGGTTTGGCATATGGATAAGGATTGATAAAGATAGCAAAGGTACGCTCTTAACCTAATGGTATGTCAATCTACATTTCATTTCCTGATCTGTCAGCATATTAATTGTCTAGAATGATGAGAAGTTTAGAGAATTTCCATGACTTTCAAAATTTCTTCTTTACCTAGGTTATCTAATTTGAAACTGATATAAGATCATGAAGCTAAGTTTAAATAAGTCACATTTTGTTGAAAGTGAATACATATGTACGGTATTCATGACATGTGGGTTAAAATGTATGGACATTATTTACATATGTGTGGATAAATAGGTCAGGTATCTAACTCAGCAATGTAAGAAAAAAATGAATGGTATGTGGATTGACTTCCTCATATGTATATTCTATTCTGTTCTATTCTTTTTTTTTTTTTTGGAGAGGAAGTCTCACTCTTGTTGCCCAGGCTTGAGTGCAGTCATGCAATCTCAGCTCACTGCAGCCTCCTCCTTCTGGGTTCAAGTGATTCTGCTGCCTCAACCTCCCAAGTAGGTGGGATTACAGGCATGTGTATCACACCCAGCTAATTTTTGTATTTTTAGTAGAAACGGGGTTTTACCATGTTAGCCAGGCTGTTCTCAAACTCCTGATCTCAAGTGATCCACCCACCTCGCCTCCCAAAGTGCTGGGATTACAGGCGTGAGCCACCATGCCCAGCCTGAACTCATATGTTCTAAACCAAAGGAGGTATTTATATTTAATATGATGTAGTCGCTGTTGAGTTTTGATGTATTACTGCATTTGTATTTATCTTTTTTGATTTTATGTGAAAGTCCCACAGAAACAGACACTTCCAGTTGCTCCCAGAACTCGAACTTCTCAAGAAGAATTGCTAGCAGAAGTGGTCCAGGGACAAAGTAGGACCCCCAGAATAAGTCCCCCCATTAAAGAAGAGGAAACAAAAGGAGATTCCATAGAAAAAAATCAAGGTAATAACTTAAATGGTGTTTCATTCTTTACTACAGTTTTTTTATGAGGCATTACATATTTTCCAATGGATTTTTATGAAATGTTACACTATTAAAAAAAAGTGATGATTAAGACCAGAAATAGAATGAGAAGAATGTCATGAGGAAAGTTCATACCAACACTTTTCAGAAAGAAAAACAAATTTTTTTAAAGAGATAGGGTCTTGCCGTGTTGCCCAGGCAGGCCTCAAACTCTTGGGCTCACGCAGTCCTCCTGCCTCAGCATCTTGAATGGCTAGAACTACAGGTGTGTGCCACTGCACCAAGCCCTTTCTAGAAATTTTTGAAAGTCTTTTTATTGTGATAATTTTTAACATCCTGAAAAATGGAAAGGCTAGTACAGTGAACTCTCATGAACCTAGTCATTAAGCCTTAATTATTATCAGAATTTTGCTGGTTTTTACATAGCTCCTTGTTAAAGATATATTTATTTCTGCATTCTTTCTTTTTCTCTTTTTGTTGATCCTACTCATTTACCTGAACTGGAAATTTTAGTTATTTTTAAATCTCCCGACTCTTAAGCATTCTGTCTCTGACCTGCCATATGTGTCCCAGCGACCCTAGGTCTTTTTTTTTTGGCTTCCTTTTTTCTCAGCTTTCTCCCCCAATTCCTATACAATCCTCTGACTTTGAAAGTGTGTCTCTCATCTTCTGACTCCTTTATGAAAGTGTTTCTCCTCTCCTCCTTATTGCCCAGAATTAATGCCATTAGTTTGGGCTTTTGGTATCTCTGTTGTCTGACCACTGAGCTTGCACAGCCCTTCTCCATGACTCTCAAAGAAAAAAGTCTTTTTCTACTAAGATTTGAATTTTAAAACCCCACCAAGAAAATCTGTATGCTTATTATGTTTTCTCACATGTTTCAAGAACCTTGGAATATATTTTTTTATATCTCCGAAACTGTCCTTTAAACTGTTCCAGCTTTCATGAAACCTTATGATTTCAAAATTGTCAATTCTGTGTTCGTCTCCTCATTGTGTCTCTTTGGAAATTTTTGACTATATTGTGCAGTTTGCTGTGACAGCATTATATGGTATTCTGATAAATGATAGGTCTAAGGACAAGACCTGTTTGTTCCCCAAACAGCCCATAGATACCAATTGGAAAATGTGAATGGGCCAAATTGAGAAGAGAAGCTGAAACTTTGGAGGGATTTTGCACAGTTCAGTGGTGGATGAAGCTAATGTAGAAGGGCTGCGGCGGTGTACTCCCTGTGGAATCTGCAGTGTGTTGCCCCAATGTTTTCTTCAAAGATAGGACTCTCCATGAGAGTCTTGGAGTAGAATCAGTTGGAGCAGGGAAATAGACAGTAGAGATAGGAAAGAATGTCAGATAAAAATAGGAGAGGGAAACAATAGGAAATCTCAAAGCAAGGCGCTATATTTTTTACATCACAAAATCAACAGAAGAAGGTTGTTGATTCTGAAGTTAGAATAGCTATCTGAAGCAAACTTTCCCCTAAAATGAACAACAGAAAAGTATCAAGGTCAAGTCCTGTGCCAAATTAAAAGATAAAAAGGAATAAAAGACAAAATAGCATTGTTTCAGTGAAAGCATGCTGAAAGGTATGCTGAAAAGAAATACCATTGCAAAGTGAGCCAGAAGACATTATTTAAATACAAGACAAAACCAAGGAAAACGTAAAACAGAATTAGAAGAACTTTGAGGCTGGGTGTGGTGCCTCACGCCTCTAATCCCAACACTTTGGGAGGCTGAGGCAGGAGGATCACTTGAGCCTAGGAGTTCAAGATCAGCCAGGGCAACATAGCAAGACCTTATGTCTACAGGACATAGTTATTTAAAAATAAATAAAACGTCTTCAGAGAAATTGAAGATAAATGAGAAGAACTTTATAAAAGTCTAAAAGGGTTCATGAGAAAGTGGCAAACACTGAATATAGGCAATAGAAATACACTATATTTATAATAGTAATCTCCAAATAAACAATATTGAGAGGAACAGAGCAAACGTTAACTTTCAAGAAAACTGTCCTGCAGTGAAAACATATTCGAAACTGTTATCTGAAAAATTGCACAGTATACCTGAGAATATTCACCCAGAACCATAAACACTAAGATGTAGTCTATAATTAATGAATTTTTAAAAATAAAAAAAGTTATTTGGACATCTAGGCAAAAGGGGCATATGACTTAGAAGAAAAAGAAAAGTAGATTATCATCAGACTTTTCAACAGCATCACTTTTGTGCCAGAAGAAAATGGACTGGCACATTTAAGATATTCCGGAAAGGAAAATGTGAGCCAAGAATGTAACGTCCAGCAAACGTTACCTTTAGAAGTGATCGGCACCAACTGTTGTCTATACGCAGAAATTCAGAGACTGTTATTCCCATGAACTTTTCTTAGGGAATCTAATGGAGGATGAGCTGCAGACAAGTAAAAGACCTGTTGTCCTAATTTACACTGGAAATTTTTTTGAACTCACATTGTATTTTATATATAAATAATTTTTTTTCTAGTTCTGTCTACTGCAAGGGCATAGAAACAATAATCAACCCTTAGTAGTATTCATAATTCCCAGATTGTGGTCTTGAAATACTTCCTATTTAGAAAGCTAGGCTTCGTACCAGCATAGTTTCTTACTCCTGTAATCCCAGCACTTTGGGAGGCTGAAGCAGTCAGATCATGTAAGGTCAGGAGTTCGAGACCAGCCTGGCCAACATGGCGAAAATACAAAAATTTAGCCAGGCATGGTGGTGGGTGCCTGTAATCCCAGCTACTCAGGAGGCGAGGCAGGAGAATTGCCTGGACCTGGGAGGAGGAGATGGCAGTGAACCGAGATGTTGCCACTGGACTCCAGCCTGGGCAAAAAAGTGAGATTCCATCTCTAAGAAAATAAACAAAGAACTGGGCTTCTTGAGAAATGTCTTTTGCCAGGTCTGGGGCAGGAAATGTTAAGATGACCCTGGAATGTGTCAACATCCCAGATAGCAAAGAAGCTGTCGATGAATGGTAGATCATGTCTAAAGGATGCAGGAGCCAACTTAGAGAGGTCTTCATTGGCCAAAGATGGAATTATTTGAGCTTCAGTAGGTGTAAGAATCACAGTGGATTAAAGCCCATTTAAATTCACGGTTTCCTAATTTTTTTTTTTTTTTTTTGAGACTGAGTCTCGCTCTGTTGTCCAGGCTGGAGTGCAGTGGCACAATCTCGGTTCACTGCAACCTCTGCCTCCCAGGTTCAAGTGATTCTCCTGCTTTAGCCTCCCTAGTAGCTGGTACTACAGATGCGTGCCACCACGCCTGGCTAATTGTTTGTATTTTTAGTAGAGATGGGGTTTCACCATGTTACCTAGGATGGTCTCGATCTCCTGACCTCATTATCTGCCCACCTTGGCCTCCCAAAGTGCTGGGGTTACAGGTTTGAGCCACTGTGCCCAGCCCTAATGATGTTTTTTAAAAGTAAACCCTAACTAGTCACCTTCTGGAGGATAGTAGATACTCATTTATTGTCTTGAAAACTGAGTAAATAAAATAATTGAACATTTATGCTGTCTTTTCTGTAAGAATAGTACTACTGGGTAACCCCATAGGACAGGAGTTGGTATCTGTTTGAACCAAACCGTGCCCGTTCATGTATGTATTGTCCATGGCTACTTTCATATTACAACCTGAGTTGAATAGTTGCAAGGGACCATATAGCTTGCATAGCCTAAATAGCCAACCTCTGATGCAGTAGATGAGAGAAACATTTTCTTTTAAAATGATTTCAGCTAATAAGAGAACAAGGTGGTAGAATTAGAGTTCTGCTTTTAAGAGTGAAAAACAGTTGTTTTGTGCCCCTTGATGCAGAAGAACAAAACTTTCGTCTTGCCAAAAATGTAAATCTAAGTCATCAAGTGTCTAGTCCAGTAGTCAGTTTGCAAGAAGTTACAGAGGCCAGAGGAATATTTTGGTTGAGCTGCACCATGAGTGTGCAGCTGGCAAGGTAGTCTTTGGGACACTGTGGGTCGAATAGCCTGAGATTTTGAGTTTAAAAGGCAAATCAAAGTAAAATAAAAGGAGCAGGATTAAGCTGCAGTGGCTAGGGATGCATAGTATGTGTGAAATTGTAGAGAACCTCTAGACATTAATATAAAAGGCACATAGTGGTTGCTTTTGAAGAGTACTGATAAAGATGGAGCACACAGAGAGTCTTCTGGGGTAGGTAGCAGGTGAAGTTCTATCTTTCGTCTTGGATGGTAGTCGGAAGGGTGTCTTGCCTTATAAAAATCAAGTAAGCTATATGTTTGTGTGGTTTTCTATATTGTGCTTTTAAAAGAGGTAATTAAAATGGTGTCAGGTACCTTTGTTGATGAGGACTCTTTGTATTACTAGATTTATTCACGAGTGTGAAGTGATACTGCAAGCAATTGTTACCTGTTGATGTGCCTACTGACTGTTGTACAGTAAAATCTGTGGCAGGTTTTTAAAATCTAAACATGTACCTGTATTGGCATAAGTTGTTGATAGCTTTTTTCTTCTTTTGTTTGAGCAAATAGCATTCTCTCATTTCTCTGATGACTTTATTTTTGCTAGTGCACCCACCTCACAATATGTATACCTTTTTTTTTTTTTTTTTTTTAATTCTTGCCATCTATCTGTCACTAGAAGTTTATTTTCCCAATCTTTTCAAAGGCTTAACCACAATTATTCTGGCTTTATTGATTCTTTTTTTGGTATCTTTGTTTTCTATTTCACTGACTTCTGCTTTTTTTTTTTTAAGAGGTGCAGTCTCACTCTGTCACCTAGATTATGGTACAGTGACACAGTTGTAGCTCAGTGCAACCTCAAACTCCTGGGCTCAAATGATCCTCCACCTCAGGGACCATAGGCACACGCCACCATGCCTAGCTAATTTTTAAGTTTTTTTTGTAAAGATGGAGTCTCACTATGTTGCCCAGTCTGATCTTGAACTCCTGAGCTCAAGCAATCTGCCCACCCTAGCTTCCCAAAGTGCTAGG